GGTTCGCCAAGCTGTGTTCACCATCTGCATGACCATCTGCACTTTAGCCAGTTATCGCTATTGTCGTCGTAAATAAATATACGCAAACGACTAGACTAGACAGGTGTCTCGGTGGCTTGGCCACAAGTGTCTCGACCGCGCGCGATTTCGTAAAGTGATGGTAAATGTGACGAGGGAGAGCAGGGCACTGAATGATTTGTTTTATCATAATGAAACCGTCCTGTGGTAGGCTGCGAGTCGGAGAACACGACTGGCCTCTCCCTTTTGCACCTCGCTCAGTCTTGGCTGCTAGTTCCGACTCGTGTGACTTCCGTTCGTCCTTCACTCTACCCAATCAGAACGTGACTAGTCATTGTTGTTGAGTTTAATCGCCTGTCTTGTGGGTGACGAGGAGGCCTGAGCGACTGCTCTCACGCTTTCAATGGATGGCCTTTTGGCGTCCACGTGAATGCGCCTTTATTTGTTTGGAGTGAAAATCAAGGACTAACGGCGGAAGCACGTTTAAGTGCCAGATTCAGCTCTAGCCACGTGAGGTGTTGAGTGTACTGACGCCATCGTGTCGAATGCGTGCTAAACTGATTTGAACGCCAAAGCAAATATTAGCATTGGAAGCGAGTCCCCGGTTGTTTATTTATGAAGTCAGAGGTGACGAAGATGCCCTTTGAACCAGTTAGCAGCTGGACACCTTAACGATTAGACGTGGTATCGAAAATGATGTTTGGATGATGACATGTATTAAAAAAATATGGATCTCAGAGAGTATTTCATGAAGCCAGTCTCATCAGCAATTTGCAGATACAATAGGAGCCATTTGCGGGAGCCTGAGTCGCTGTTGGGTCCGAATTAAATAAGATCTGGCGTGCTTTTTATTACTTCAATGGCACAATGATACTTGATTTATAGAAGTCACGCATGGCTGTGGAATGGGTCTCCACTGACGACGAAAACACATTTAATTAACAAGTTTTCGCGCTACGTGAAGGATGGTAATCAATGCGATTTGCTCTTTAGTAGCAGTCGATCGGGAGTATTATCGATCTGCTGTTGTGAAACTATTTATCATATCCAATCGCATCCTGATTCCATCGTGAGTAATTGAGCGTGTTGATATTGGAAAAGTGATAAATCTATCCTTTTAATAAAGCAAAAGTTAATGCGATACGCCGAACAAAATCCAGCGCTGTGGACATTAAGTGGCGATGAGGACAAAATATGGCGAAACACGGAAATTTCTCGAAAACTTTATATCAAGCTAACACTTAAGTAAGCAGAAACTTGAAGGGATATTTGAATTCGTGAATAAGTAGGAAACAGATTTATTAATGTTTAAATTTATTTAAAGTCGAAAAAGGGACCGGTATAGACTGGAATGTCAGCGCAGAATAAATCAGCCGCAGGTCCAGTGCCTCATAGCTGTGATTATTCGAAGGTTCGAAAATTTTAAATTTAAAAACGGACAGAAATTCAAAACTGCAGATGGTAGTCGTCTAGGAAGATCAAGTATCACTCTGCTGATGAAGGACATTCCTTGTTCTAATTTTCTGAATGACATGAAAGTCTACTAAAAGGCAGAGGTTTGACATGTTCGTAGACGTAATACTACACAAACGCACACGCCTTTGTAATTATGATTCATACAGAGAAATCTGATTGGTGTTTTATTTTTAATGTTAGCTTCGATGTAGGACATTGTGGCATTTTGCTAGAATGTGGTTTAAATCACACACACATACACACAGAGATTTAAAATATTAAGTACTCACGTGCTGAAGAATGACTCAAGAGAGGTTGACTATCAATTTTTATTTCCGTCAATTGGCATCAACTTTAAAAATCCTACGTCAAACCAAAAGTGAAAATCAATGATGTTGAATATCCAAGGTGTAAGGTGGTCGAAAACCATGACGACAACTATTCTTGGTACGCCGAATGAAATAACATACTAGACGTTGTGCTTACTATATCAATATGTGAAAATCAGCTGATGAATTCAAAGTTAGAGGTGCTTCTAGGGTTATCGATTAAAGCAGGAACATTGTGACATGTATTTAATATGAGGTTTAGTTAAGTGAATTCGCGTATGATGCAAGCAATTTGTTGTAGTAAATAATTTCCTTACTCCTAGATATACCTTAATATTATACTACTAAAATCAGACAGTAGCATCAGTGGCTACTAGAATGTGAACAATCAATGGAGCTTGTGAATTCATACACGGCAATTAATAGAAAATGGATCAAGTAATTACGGTATAAACTGCAGACTAAAACGGAAACACAACAGAAAAATCGACTTAAAAAGGATGCGGTGGGATGAGTTGCTATAGTCAGCAGTCACATTAGTAGTTTGTGTGGGTTGAAAATAATGACTCTAATGGCTAAAGTGGCTTAATGATATACGCAACTCAAATAACTGATAAAATTGGACAAATTCACAAATTGTAATCCAAACCACGATAAAAATCACTTTAGTCTGCATAAGTGCAATTGGTTTGACGTGACCTTCAAGCTTACTTAAAAGCTTAACTTTTACATCCAAGACAAATAGTACGCTGACAAAACAAAGAGCAAATACGTAAAAATATTTAAAACGACTTAAGGGCTTTTGAACAGAAAGTTTAGATGAAGATACGCAGGCGTAACATCAAAAAATATATGTTCTTAATATCATTGATGAGTAGCGTTTCCTGTTTTAATTTTCCAAGAAAATATTCAGAAACATAAGGTAAATGTATTGGACGATTCATCCATTATTTTAACCGAAAATGCGCACAAGATTTAACAGAATGACATTGCTTGTATCTCAAACTGTGCAATTTTCATAAATCCAGCTCCAAATCTAGAACTTCCGTTTTTAAAAAATAAACGTTTTTCGAAAAAAAAAAACTAAGGTCTGCAGATGGTTACGAAAATTAACCAACATACTAAAAATGAAGGCTGAAAATCGCAAGGTGTGGGAAATCCTGAAAGTAAGAATTTTTTAACTTAGTACTTATTTAAAAAAACCGAAAATTACTGTTTATTACAAATGAATTAATATCGCAAAATATTTAAACATGTCTTACAAAACTTTGCATCACTATACCATCACATTGGGGCTGATTTAATTGGACAACAGATCTGACCTATGTGACCACTTTTATCAATTTCAGTTTTTTTCTTTTTATGGATGTTATTAATAATTTGTTTTCGGGTAGGTTGTCTTGATATCTCGGTTTACTACCACTGTATATAATTCCGTAAATTTATTAGTGCAGGAATATCTAATGTCACAAGCAAAATGTGGAATCTTTGCTGTTCGCTTCGTTTGCTAGCGTAGTTATGGTAATTTTTGTAATCGGAAATAGGAAATTGTAATGTCCCGAAAGATATCATTGGAATTTTTTGCTGAAATGTATGTTTTAAGTGGATTTTTGTTTTTCTAATGCATTATTACATTACGTTCATGCTAGTAGCGATGACAGAGTCGCCTTTGTTTTCTGAAAATGATGTTATAACCTATCGGTTACTACAGAATGTTTTTCCCTGTAAACATATCGGGAATATCTGAGCTGAATAGGTGGTTTTGGCAGACCTAGTAGTAGGCCATTGGGTGATATCGTTTTCCGCTGTTGTTAAACTAGCCATTAATTTTGTTGCTTCTACATTTGCTAAAAATAATTCCCCATGCATGTGGAATATAAAGTCCTGAGGTCATGATGGAATTTTTTGTTTGAGAATCGAATTGAACTGTGTGTAGCTATATCTATGGACACCGCTTATTTCATGCACTCTGCAATCTATGACTAGTTTGTGTGCTTTAACAAAAAGGGAACCAACGCAGGCCCCGATTTACTCCATCAGTAATATCCAGTAGCTCGGGGAGCATCCGATACAAGTGGCCCCATCGCCGCAAGCGTGCCAACGTCCAAAAGAATGTTCAAGTTGAACAAGCACTCGATGCCGACTCCTTACCCGGTTTGCTGCGTGTTCCCGCCGATGATGTCTGTGCGGTGTGTGCAGACGATCTGGAGTTTGTGTATGCTCTGGAGAAGTGCGGGCACCGGGCCTGCCTTGACTGCTGGCGCACATTTGCCTCCACCCAAGTCTCTTCCTTTGCTATGGCTCACATTACCTGCCTTTCCTGTGATCGTCGACTTTCTCGGGCCCTCACCCTGCAGTTATTGAAACCTCCCCGCGTTCCCAACCCTCAAGCAAGTAATCCCGCTGCCTCGGTTGAACAGCAGGTGTCGTCTGACAGGTTATACCAGCGCTACGAAGACTTCCTGCTCCACCAATGTCTTTTACGTGACAAACACACTCGGTGGTGTCCGCGTGGTTGCGGGTTAGTTCTAAATTCTTCGATTTTATTTCACCACCAGTCACTTTACTACCTCAGACAACTAAGTCAGGTTCTACCTTTTGACACTGTGGTTCCGGAAATAGTTCAGGCGAATTATACTCGTTGTCCCTCTGTACACACACGCCTGCCATTTACGATAACGTGGGTTAGAATCGTACTCGTGGTCCTTTTCGAGGTAGATGTGATGTTGTGGTCCCTCGGCTCCAGATATCCGAGCGATTTTGAATTTGTTCGAAAGATCATGCAAGTTCCCCAAGCACTTTAATCTGATGTGAAATTGGATGGACGATCCAGTCACACCCCTATGCAATAAATGACCTACCTTTTTTCTATATTGACTCTGAGTTTCATGAAATCCTTCAAACAATTTCCTTTGGTTTCTCCTGAGCAAATGACAAGCATTCTTAATCTTCACATTTTCACTCAAAATGCGCTTTTGGTTTCATGAAATTGTGAAGAGTTTTTCTTAGTGATCCGTCTTCATTAGCCTTAACCGTTTGGTGATAGTAAAACCGTAGTCGTCTCCAACGTTTGTCTCACGTGGTATAATTGAATTCTCCACAACCTGCCAATGTGAATTAAGTTGTCATTATTACTTTCTCCGTGTATGTTCTTTAACGCATGAAGGTACATTTCGTGGGTCATTTATTTCAATTTTACCATGCCACTGGCTCACCTCTGTGCTCCCTTCTATTTCAGTATTCCTGTACTTTTTCGGGGTTCTGATGCACGACTAATTTGAATATCATACTCTACCACTCAAAGCGTTACTTTTTGGTGGCATGTGACACATTAAATGGAAAATTCACCGCCTATCAGTTCGTGTTTATTTTGTGATGCTACCATGCAATCGTTTTTGTGTGTGTGTGTGAAGGAGTTATTTACTTTTGGGACCGATCAACAGAGTAATCTTTCCGCCCCCAAGATGATGATGGTGATGCTTACTGCAGCTGACGCATCATTTCGGCATTGAAGCCTGCTGTTTTGTAGCTGTCTTAGTCAATTAATGCGTATTCGGTGGAATAAGCCAAGCACATGCCATGGTCTGTGACTCGTCCAAGGCTGCGTCCATCAGTCCTGATTCCAGAACCACGAAAACCCATTTTCTAAACAAATTTACAGGTCCAGCCTTCATTTAGCAGACTTGACCGGAAAACGGGGGTAAATTAGTTTGATTTGTGTATGAGAGAAATTGTGACGGGTGTGGGCACTTGTTACCCGTCTTTGTTGCTTTCGGACAAGACGTCAAGAAATCAGCACACACCACGCCTTTGCTTTTTAAGGTACGCAGTGCTGGCGCACGGTTTCAGAGCCTGTCCACGTCTGGAATGCCAACACCCGAATTGCAACGGAGGCGCGTTTTGCTACAAATGCCGTGGACCTTGGAGCGCAGACGGTGCGGAGCACGTGTGTCCCAAGCGGACGGGTGGTGGGGCCGGCAGTGGTGACCCGCTCACCGACAACCACCGCTCCCTGCTCTCGCGCCTCCACCAACTCCTTCGACTCCCCACCGCCGCCGCCACCTCCACGGCGCCGGAGGAGGCGGGCGACCCCGGTAGCGTGGACGGTCTCATCCGCCAGATCTCCGAGCGCCGCTTCTCCACGCCCACCGTGCCTGTCCACACCGCCAAGTCCGTCGACGACGCGGACGGTGACGACGACGACGACGGCGACGACACCCGGGAGAGTAGGGGTGAAGACGACGCCGCCGCTGCTCAACCGTGAGTACATCTTTTCAGCTTCCCCCCATTAAGTGGGGGCGTTTGGTGTATTTAAAAAAAACGACCGCGGTATTCTGTGTGTGTGGCTGAGTCATGGGATGAAAGTAAAGTAGATGTTCACACGCCGTGCTGTAGTGGCAGTGCTGTGGGCCTCTTCACATCAATCCCGAATGAAAGGTTAATTGATGTGTGTGGTTGTTGTCGGCATTCCAGCACGCTTTTACCGCTTTAAACCCCCTCCCCCGACCCGGAAATTCATTCGCATGAACTGAAACCACTCACTTTTTTTTCAAAATCACCGCGACCAATTACTCTTCTCCTTCTTGCAATGGAAACCGTACATGTGTTCCAGTGGTAATTTAGTGTCCGTAGTCCAAATTCGAATACCTCACCATATCACGAGTTAATAATATTTATTTGAGGTCAACTCGCATAAGTCTGATTTAGGTCAAGCGAAAGTTGCCGAATTGTTATTCGCTCAACCTACCTGGTGTTGGACACGGCCAAATGTCAGGCGGAACAAGCATAACCGCATATAATAAGTAAGAACACATCAAGGTCAAATTTTATTGCCATGGCTACAGACATCAGCAAGAATCGGTCCTGTGTTACCTTGCCGACGTGGCACTCGGAACTGAAAATCTAGCATTTGCAGTTCGTTGCGTGCCTGCCTGTTCCGGTTAACCTGGCGTTTTGGCACTTTGAACGCGTCGAACACACTCTATTCTGCTCGTCATTGTACTAACAGATTTCGCTTGACCTTGGAGTGACTTATACGGGTTGACCTCGTGTGTACGCAGGTACCACACGATGTGGCGAGGCGCTTGGTGTTTAATTAAGCTAATATCAAACGGCGCCAGATTCGTGCACTGCTAGTTCGCATGTACTATTGCACAATCTCACACAAGTCCCATCTCGTGCTGTGGTAGGCACGAACACTGCGTAGTTTTGAGGCTATATTTGGGACCTCTTCACACCTAGAGTAAACAATCCCCGAGTGTATCCAAGTAGACAATTTTGCGCTCCCTGTGCTTGACCTCTGACACCATCGGAGGGTCGCTCGGTGGTGGCTTCGGTGACCTGACCAATCGACCTGTTGGAATGACTGGAGGCGACTCGACAGAGAGGTGGGAGTCCAAACCGTTGACGACCAGAATTGCCGCCTGTGCCTCGTGGAACGTGGGGGATTTCCTGAATGCCACCACTGTTCTCAGCGCCTTGGTACATTCCTGACGTTTCTGCGGTCTGAGGAGAAGTTTACTGTGATTGATCTTAGCAGTCACTCGGCCGATCACCCCCTCCCCCGACGACTTACGATTCCAAGTGTAGATTGTAGCAACTGGAACATCTAGTCTTTCATTGAAGGCGTTCATGACTTCGACACGGTCTTTGTATCCAAAATTCTCCTATGGATTTGCAGCAAAGATTATGGTTTGTACACTTAGTCGAGCCTGCAATTAAACGACGAAGTGAAATTTACTGAGCCTCGCAATTTCACGTTTCACCTCCTCGGGACGTTGTTTGTCAAAACCCAACTTTAGTCTGAAAACGCCGTACTTTCGTGTGCAGCCGCGCGCGTCGTAGCCAATTAGTGCGGACTTCCGTTCTGTGGATGCGAGTTAAAACAACGCCAGCCACATGGATGGGTTTGGTTTTACATAAACAGACGTCGAACACGCCACCTTAAGTCACCTGTCCTCTGCTATTTATTGTGACCATCGAAAGCCAACAGCGCCCCCCCTTGTGAATGGTGTTTTTTTATTATTATCACAAAGGCTATTTCAGTGAATTGGCACATTTGCGGTGTGTCTGAATGGGCCTTGTGGTGTGAGAAAAGGGTGATGCGCTGTTTTACAACGCTAGCCTATCAAAAAGGGTGTTTTAATTTTGTCGAACGCACTGAAAACACCGCCATCTACTACTCTGTGATTAGACCCGTGTGCTCGTTGCTCATTGGCTGCAGGCAAATTAGTGAAATGACACATGCCATATCACCGACATCTGCCGTGGCACCTTGAGAAGTGGCATTAGCTTGGAGTAGGTGTTCTACCACCCACTTGATCCTGGGTGCTTTTTTGCTGAATCACTGATCTACTTCAGGGGTCTCCGATTAAGCATTTTGTGTTCTGGTAACTGCGTACCACGTACCTCAGGTTCACCAGGGCAAGCCTTCGACACGAGCTCCAACCCTATGTTTTAGCTCCGGCGATAATACCATGCACTTTATCCCATTTTACAGGGGGGCGGGGGTTCGTGTGTCAGAAGAGTAGTATTTAAATGAGCTGTTATCTAATCTTAAGTGTCTGAGGCTTAATGGCTTCTGGTGTGTTATGGTTAATTGCTAGAGGGACACGCCAAAGCGTCACACACACACACACACACACACCAGGTGCACCCCTAATGCCTCCATGCGCCTAATGGCAATCAGCTTCCGTAGCCCACTTGATTAACTGAATCTGCTAGCTCTTTTTTTTCTGGAGTGTGCGGGGGTTTGAGTGCCATCGCAACGCCAGATTGGGGAGTAGACAGAAGCCGGAGTTGTTAGCACTCGGCCGCTTTTTAAATCCCTCGCATCGGTGAATGCTTTGCTGCGGGGAGCTACCTCTGCGCACACAGACTTCGCAGTGCTCCTGGAGGCCTTCGAAAAGAATATATCTCAAACATACTTTGCTATAACATTCAATATTAGAGCAGTTGGTGGCATGGTCGTGGCATCCCCAAGTTAGCTGCGAGTCGAATGCTAAAAGAGTAATCAATCTAGTGACTATATATCAGAAAGGTCGAGGTAGTATCTCCCCCGACAGCTCCACGGACTTGAGTCACGGTGTGGAAACGATACGACTTCAAGCCTTGAAGGCGTTGAAAATGGCTCCAGTACACCGGAGTGTGCATGAAGGGCTACGGGTGTGAGATGGATCTCACATCTGCCACTTGCTCTCTGTGTCACGTAGTGGGTTCATTTTGGGCTGTGAATCCGCTACATTTACTGGGGACTTGTGGTTTATACTCTAGCGGATGCTATTCTACAGGTCTATATACTATTATATGTGTATTTTTTTCTAACGTGCATTTTCTTTGCAAATTTCTTTTAGGGGTGATGTGGACATATCCAAGATCGACCTAGATCTCCCCGATAGGGTAAATGGTAAGTTAGCAAGCATTATGTTTGTAATTTACTTCATTCAAGCTGACTGTATAACCGGTATAACTATTCGTGGTTAAGGCTCTTTTTCTTATACATTCAGTAAAACAAGACCCGAAATCGATATTAATTTAAACTCGAGGTATTAACGGTAAAACTCTCCATGGTTAAGGCTCTTTCACCTACTCATTCAGTAAAACCAGAGCCGAAAATCGTTATTAATTTAAACTTGAGGTATTAACAGTAAAACTCTCCATGGTTAAGGCTCTTTCACCTTTACATTCAGTAAAACAAGAGCCGAAAATCGTTATTAATTTAAACTCGAGGTATTAACGGTAAAACTCTCCATGGTTAAGGCTCTTTCACCTACTCATTCAGTAAAACCAGAGCCGAAAATCGTTATTAATTTAAACTCGAGGTATTAACGGTAAAAGTCTCCATGGTTAAGGCTCTTTCACCTACGCATTCAGTAAAACAAGAGCCGAAAATCGTTATTAATTTAAACTCGAGGTATTAACAGTAAAACTCTCCATGGTTAAGGCTCTTTCACCTGCACATTCAGTAAAACAAGGGCCGAAAATCGATATTAATTGAAATTAGAGGTTACGGTGAAGTTCTGCTCGTGAAACGTAATTACCTGCCTACAGCACATGTCAACAACGGGCGTTGTTGATCCTGGTGGGTGTTATTTCCGTGACCTCGCCACACTCGACGTGACACACAATGACGGAATCTTGCCGATATCTTGGAAGGCGACCCAGATTAGGGACTGTCACCGTAGTTCCTGCACTTGGGGTTATCTGAGTCATGTGGCGACTTCCGTGACCACGACGGACTACCTCTACATTCATGCTGTGCTTGTGTTTCCGCAAAGACAGTACACACATATATTCTGGTTTCATGGGGTAGATTGTGAGAAATATTTCGCTAATGTATGACAAATACCCAGCGTGGTTTGTAGTCTCTCTTGCATAAACAGGCCTTATGCCTCTGTGGGGGTGTGTGTGTGTGTGTGTGTGTGTTGGAGATCATGGAAACATACTTCTGGTTTTTCATCTCTGCACGCTCCCAAGTGAGCAAGTACTCCGATTTCCGTGCACCAAAGAGCGTCGTGTTTCACGTTTCCAGTTGTCCCCCGGAACGCATTCGAGCGTGCCGAGGCTGCCTTTTACCCGAGAAACCGCCCGGCCAAGAAAAAAAAACTTTAAAGCCGCACGCTTTCATTCAATCCACCCGTCAACTCCTCCGACTTGCAGCACAGCCTCTAATGTACTGGGCTGCGTCACGTGAGTGCGCTGTAATTGGACGTAGTAACGGCTCGCGCGTGTAGTCATTGGCTAACTGGAAAAAAAGCCCTTAACGACGCATTTTTCTGCAGAAGTTACGTAGTCTGGTCTGAAGTCGTTTGCTGAGACTGCGGATTTGTCAAATTTTGCCCACTGTGTCGGCTCCGTTTTATTGCCGGCAGTGACGAAACGCTGGCGAGATTAGGAGTTCATTGCGGCTCATGCAACAGTACACGGCTTTTTGGTAGTAGTAGTAGTAGTAGTGCAAGGCTACAAGCAATTCACTAGCTAATGCGTCTGCGTTTTTCATGGTAGGTGTGTTCAAATGTCAACGTGGCTGCTGCCTCCACTGGCGGTGAGACGGTGGCGGGGTGAGTGGACGAGGCGTGTGAAAAATGCGCACGTCTGGCAGTTTTTTGCCTGCGAAAGACTTCAAACCGGGAGATTTGGCGGTTAAAGCTAGATCTTTTCTGGGGGGATGTGGGGCTAAAATGGTCGTTATCTGCACTCGAAAATGAACGAGGTTCGTGTATGTGTGTGAAATCGAAACGTCAACACGCAGTCGATTGTCCAAAAAAGTGCAATTTCTTGAAACAAACGTGCGCTGACAGTAATTTTTCACATTTTATTAGAAAATGTGGAAATATTTGCACGGTCGTGTGTGGTTTTCAGAGGATCGGATGTGAGGTGTCAGAACTCTGAACAGCAAGTCTCCGTGAGTTACGCAACCTCTCAGAATGCCAGCGTTTACGACGACGACGGCAAGTGATAAACGACACGTTCGATGGCACTGCATTTTTTCACGAATTCCGACAGGGGAAAACTGCTGCTTGTAAAGCACGTGGGGAGTCAACTTGTAGCGTTCTTGGTGCCGATGCCGACGTTGTGTCGCATGGAACGTGTGGATGTTGGTACAGACGTCTTGGAAGTGGTGGTTTCGATCTTAGTGGCCAGCCGCGCCCCAGACAGCAGCCTCAAAAGTGTAAGGACGCGGAATCGCAAGCTCTACTGAATGAAGACTGGACGCAAACGCAACAGAAGCCTGCAGTAGGAGTCACCCAAACGGCCCTTGCATCAACAAATGGGAAAAATATAAAGCGTGGATGTTGAGCAGTGAGTGAATGTATTGTGGAAAACTGTGACGCGTGATTAAAAGTATAATCTTTACGAGAATCCAGTGTCTAAAGTCGTGGGTAGATCCCGGCTAACCCAGCAGCACATCGACGTTGAGGCGGGACATCCATTTGAACAAGGTTCTCCAATGTTTGTGGTAAGTGTACGTGAGGGATGTGCTTTATTACAAATTCCTGGAAATTGGTCGTCAGGCAGTGACTGTGGAAGGCTACAGCCGACAATTGAATAAACTGAGCGAAGAACGTGATCAGAAAAAGCCATTTGCTGGACAAGAAAGCAGGCAAGTCATACAGCTGCCGTGAAAAAGGGGAACCCTGTGTCGGAGGTGGAGCGACCGGATTAAGAGGTTGAATAAACACGATTCACACCAAACACAACCTCCTAGGTCAACGCATCAACACACACGTCTTTCACTGCTGGTGGCCAACAGGTGCTTGCAGCAGCTCACTTAGGGGTCACCCAAACAGCTATTTCCAAGCGTCTGTACCATCAGATGGAAAAAACGTTAAACAACCTAAGAGTTGAAGGCTTAAAATCCCCTCAGTAGCACACTTTCGGCTTAATTTTCTCACAAGCCTGAATTCTGTCGATGACTCTCATGGTTTGAATCCTCTGCGGTGCACAAATTCACATGCGCCTTTCGTCTGCTACTACTACTATAGCACCGTTGATTATTGGCATTTTAGCACAACTAATCAACCAATCCAACGCTGTAACCCTTCTCGGATCGGTCTTGTGCTACTCCGAACGATCCCTGGTCCGTTTTTCGTTTCGTGTCGATTTGTTTCGGCTTGTTAGCTGCCCTGAGGCGATTGTGCACTCACTTGAAGTAATCACGAGATGGCAGCATGATTGCGAATTTACTAGGCACCTTTTGATCTTGAAAATCGTGTTTACGCCAACTCACACACACACACACACAGTAACACTAAAACGGCACCTTCTGACGCCTGCATTGAAGTGACGTCCGTTTAGCCTCTTGTTTCGCTGGTATCCCAAGTCAATGTGGCCGCAGAAAGCTAAGCGTTCAACTACCTGTGTGCCACACTAAGCCGGCATCCGCATCGACCTCGGTGAACGCGAAATTGCACACACAGCCGCATTTTCGGCGAATCGGGTTCCGTGTCTCCAGGTTCAAAAAAGGCTGTTTGCCTTAACAAGAACAGGGTTAGTTTGGTGAGTGGGCGGATGATGAATGCCAAGTGGGCGTTGTTGCGCCAGATGCCACATGATCCGAATGAACTCTAATGCTGGCTTTAACATTCGTTTTTACCCGAGTTTGTCGTTTCCAATCGATCGATCCCGGCTGGTTAAATTATGCCTACTGACTATTTGCGAGTTGTCGAAATTTAGTGAGACGAGCTTTTGGGGTGAGGAAACTTATGGGTCATGCGCGTTGAACAACGAGGGCTTTGCATCATTTAAGGAGAATTTATATTAGCTGGGGCATCAGCTGCTTGTGTGACGTTGCCGTGGTTTAAATATGCCTCTTGTAACCACAGGCCAGGTCAAACCGTGTCCCCGGTGTAAAACCTATCTCCTCAAACTCGACGATGGCTCCTGCAATCACATGAGCTGCTTCATCTGCGGTTGTGAGTTCTGCTGGCTCTGTCTACGCGAAGTCCGCGATACCCATTACTTGAGGTAACTCTGCGCTTCTGATACTACTATTACTACTTAATAATCATTTCAGTAGCATGGTTTTTTTCTGCCTATCTGAATGGCTAGTGTTTACGTTTAATTAAACTCAGAAAATGCAGTGTTGATCAATAGTGTGGTACCCATTGCCACAATGTAACATGCTTTCGTGGTCTTAATTATCTAGTTGAGGCTAATTAACAGAAAAAAAGGATGTTTGGTGACAGTAATGTGTCTTACTTTGCCTCTCGCCTTGTTTTCGTGCCCATACAGTCCCACTGGTTGTACTTTCTGGGGTCGCCAACGCTGGCCATTCAAGCGACGGATCTGCGCGATGCTCCTGGCCGCCTTTGGCACGCCATTCATCCTCGCCATCGTAACTTTTCTCGCGTTGCCTGGAATCACCGTTGGCTTTCCCGCCTACCTTGTCTACAAGGTTCGTCTTTTTACCGGCACCTCGCAACCCCCACAAATAATTGATCTCAGTTGGTTAAATTGTGTCTACTGAATACAAGCAAGTAACTACTTTATTTCTTGGATTTGATGTCTATTTCGAAATCGGCTGACGCCTTGAGAGAAGTTGTCAGGTTAACATGTCTTAATTGATCGTGTAATAAATTAATTTTACTTTACATAAAATCATTATTAATGGAAGAAATACCGCATTTTAACGGTTTTTTATGAAGTAACAGTCAATCTGATGGGGCACCTCAAGTGTTTAGTTAATGTCATTTTTTGTTGCTGCTAAATATCGTGACCTCTAGTTTGAGTTTCATAGCTCACCCCCACTCCACTAAGGCGGTTCTCTTGTGTAAACCTATTTCAATCTTGGCGCCAATTTAGATAGGTGCCAATTTAAACAAACTGCCAGTTCACGCGCTGTCTTTTTGGTTGTTGCAGGTGGGAGGACAGCTAACAGGCAGCAAGTGCAAACGCGGCCTCGTAAAAACCATGGCTTTCCTCGGTGGGCTTCTGATCTCCCCCATAATCGCGGGTACGTTGTCAATTTCTTCACTTTCATAGCTGATTTACGCGGTTGTATTGGGTATTCTTTGATTAATCGATCACTCGGCCAATCACGGACACGGTTAGACCGATAGGCCAGTTGAGTTCATGCTATGCCTGTTATCGATTTGCGATACAATAAATTTATTACATAAATTTACGGCGATAAGCAGGGACAGCACCAGTCCATAATAGCTTCGAAAAATCGTTCGAATCTTTATTCACGGAAATTCCACGTGCTTCTTGTTTGCTTCATCGCGGGTAGTTTGTCATTTTCTCTTCTACATGAAATTTCTGTATTTGTCCCCTCAATGAGGTAATCTTCATCTGTGTTGGAGGTTTCCGTGGTCGCGTGTAAACACCATTGCTTCTGAAACCTCTCTACCAGGAAATAGTTCCGATTTTATTCATTGAAATTTGCATAAATCATCATTAAGAATGTTCCAATGGTGGTGTTTGGTCATTGGCTAAACTCAAGGTTCTCTTTATCCTGATTGGTTAAAATGCACACCCAATCACTATTGAGTAGGATTCTGTTTGACTTAATTGCTTGAAAATTATACAAGCCCGTGATATCGTTAGCCTATTGGCTTAACTCAAGGTTCTCTCAATCCTGATTGGTTAAAAAGCTCGCAAAACCGTCGTTGGCATCATGCGTCCAATTTTTCACAGTCAAACCCATCTCCAATGTTGTGCTTTGTTTTGCAGCTGTCGTCGCTCTGTTCGGCATCCCATTGGTCCTCATTTACGTCTACATATTCATGCCCATAACCCTCTTTTCGGAGCTGAAGGTGCGCCTGAACTCGGAGACCGCGGACACGGCAATTGACCCCGACGTGGGCTTCAAGATAAACTGGGAGCGTGTGGGCGAAGCCGCCAGCCAGCGCGACGACGCTCCCACCGCCGACTCCCTGCCGCCTTCCACGACGGTGGATTTCGCTTACGAGGTCAGCGAGGACGCCGACTCGAGCGACGAGGCGTGATGTCGGTGCTGACTTGTTTCATTTCTCTTCTTCTTGTTTTTTTTTTACATGATGAATTCAATGCTAGTAGTGGGTCTACTGGGACAAACGCCAACTTACAGACAAATGCCTAATGGGTGCTAATTTATTTCGCTTTTGTTACTCAAATGCTTCGCCTTCCCCTTACCCCCCCCTCCCCCCGCCGCCACCTGCTGCTCCCTGACTTTTCCAGTTTTTGTTGCTGAACATTCGTGAACACGATGTGTTTTACCAATACCATTCCCCAGACTGTCTGCGATTACAGTTTGCCTTGCATGAACTCGGTTGGACTAGTAATTCACAGCAAATCTGTTATTGACGGGCTACTTATTAAGTAATCAATTTAGATTACCTTTCCGCAGAGATGATTTTCAGGGGTAAACTGACGTCGTGTTTGACTGGCCTGTTCGGATTCACGCACAAAACGGTGTGACTCAGATTCAAACCAGCTCTTCATATTATTGTATTAACTCTGTTGGACTAGTAATTCATAGCAAACCTGTTTATTGACGGGCTACTTAATATTAATAAGTAGCCTGTTTAGATTACGCTCCCGCGGAGCTGATTTTCAGTGGTAAACTAACGTCATTTTTGACTGGCCTGTTTGGATTCACGCACAAAACGGTGCGACCCAGATTCAACCCAACTCCTCTTATTACAAAAAAAATGCAATAGAACATAGTTCAAATACACAATTTGGCAACAATCGCAAATTGCCGAAGCACCCTTTAATGGTTAGGCTACCTATGGACTTCCCTGAGTGAATAAGATGGTCAAATTTCCTTCACTTGAAAGCTGCAATTGGGTGGAGGCCACTTGTGGAGGAGTTTTGTGATTGGCTATTGCATGACTGCAATAAGTTGAATTGAAATAACGCGCGCCTGTTTCGGTGTTTTAAAAAAAACAATGAGTTTGTCTAATGGTTCGCTGTGGATTAATTTTCTAACGATGCGAGTATTATCAAGCAATCAGACGAATTATCTTGCATACAGGATGCAAATTTTACAAATGAGCACTTAACTCTGGAAAATTACATGCAGATATCTAATTGCAGGGTTACTGTCCCGTTAGAACGTGAAAATCACTGCTTTCACGAGAGTAAGCATCGTTTCTCAAATAAAAAACCCAATTTGCGAAATTAACCAACGCAACTAAGTGCAACCGTGAGCGTCACGCGACAAAAACTAGGCAGGGTTCCGCTAATCTCGTTTATTTTCGACCGAAAGGCAATTAGGAGTGGGTGTTTCTAAGCCAAAAGTCTCGATTTTGTACAAATTCATACACACACGCACACACACGAACACGATAAAAACGTGGATGGTTGCTCGCGTTGCTCAAGTAAACGACGAGGGATCCATTCTGGAAGACATTCAGAGGGAGTGCGAAAACCCGGGACTACTCTAGACGGTGTATTCGACGCTAAAATGCACAAAAGATGTGTGCGAAGGGTTATTGTTGTTGAGTTCTGTGTGTTAAGTAATCCCGACATTTGCCTGCAGTCGTTGGTAGTTGTGAGTTAACTCAAGACTGCAAGTTCAAGCTGTCATTCATCAAAGTCTGGAAGCAGTTAGAGGCGACATGTTCAATTAAGAATCCTCACGCACACCCTAAGTGTCTGAACCAGTAGGCGTGCATAATGGCACAGTACACGCTCAAATTACCCTTCCACAGCAACAGCTCAAAGCAGCACTAATGCGCCCTATTCAAAGGCTACAAATCTGCTCATTAACGAGCCAAACGTCTGCATTAATAACTAAAGGTACAAGTGACATCAGTGCGCCTACAGGCGAGACTTAAATTGCTTTGAAGCTTGAGTCGATAAAGAAAGCAAATCAATCAATATTGGCAGAGGGGTACGGGGATCACCTCGGGCGCGTTGTGTTTGACCTTCACAAGGTCTTTTTTTCAGCAGATAGCTAAGATTAAAGTGCGTGTAACAGATGGATATTTTACGATTGCATTAGCTCAACTGACGTGTTTTTTAGGCTAAAGATAAGCAATTGACCATGGGATTTGTTTAAACGAACAAGTTGTCAATTGCTGCTCAAGGTCACGCCATACAGCTCTTTAAAGCTTGGGTATCGCCGTACTGTGTGCAATGACTGACACATTTTCTCCATCTGATTCCTCAAACATGCCTCAACCCTCAAGGTCAAGTCGAAACGGGGATCAGTGATCGCGCAGTCGCATGACTCATGCTGGAAGGCGCATAGCTAAAAGTACAGGCCGTTGACAGTCGGAGTGCCGACGACACGCGAGGTTAATTTATGCACGTGTAACTGGTGTGAGTCAGCGAGCGTAAACCCTGTCTCAATGCCACCTACTACACGATCATGTGAGCGCATGCGAATGCTAAATGCCACATCTACGCAGGCCTATCTGGCTGGATTGTTGTGTTGTCGTATCTGCCGAGGCAGAACGCGAGCTGGCAAGAGTTTGTGCGCGTTGTCTCATGCATGGACCACTGCCGCCTTTCGTCGCTGAGTGTGGGGCATCAGTCTCCGTGAGCTGGCAATCTGGCGCGAAATCAACTGTCAACATCGCTCCAGCTTCCATCCATCCAATCACCTTCTTGGCATTTTTGTTTAAGCGCGCACCGGGGATTAATTGAAACACACGATTTCCGCTGGTGGATGCTTAGTCAGGAAAGTCAAGGGGCCGACCATAGATAAGTCTCATTTTTTTACAAATAACAAAAATTCACGAAGTTATCACGATAATTATGGATTCTAGGTGATGGTGAATTAAAGCAACGTAGCCCCGAGATTTCGGGTAAAGGCAGGAATGGGTTTTTTTACTTGTCCTGACACCGTGAAAAATCTCAAACGTCTCAGAGGTTATCTGTGACAGGTTTAGGCGGAAATTATAGTACAGTAACACTGTCTAGACCACCGGTGACCTCGTAGCTGTCATCTTATCAATTTTTCACACAAGTAAATGCGACTTACTATCCTTTTGGCATGCTGAGAGGGCTCTTAGAACGGTGGTCCTCAACAACAGGCTTCACCCTCCTAACTGGAGGTTTGGTGTTTCCATCGACAGTTGAGGTGGGCGGCGGCGGCGGCGGGGGTGCGAAGGAGGAGCGCGGAGCAGGTTGTCGGCCGACGAAACTCGGCCGCGCCGAGATGCGTCTGGTGGAGACGCGTTTGAAGCTCGTTCTGTTCTTCACGCCCGAGGGCGCGGTGTTGGAGCGGCTGAGGGCCTGGGCGCTGGCGTCCGAGCGCAGTGACTGGCCCGACGACGCGTTCCGTCGCCGGAAGGAGCTGCTGCCGAAGCTGCTCTCCTGCGCCAGCTGGTGCTCCGTCCGAAAGCTGGCGTAGAAACGCGACTTCAACCGAAAGAACTGCTGCAGCTTCGAAGGCGGCTTCGGGTTGCCCTTGAGGCGGAAGAAGGCGTGGTGTTCCACGGCACACTTCCACAGGTGCTTGCAGGCCCTCACGTCGGGGAGAACGAAGACGAAGGTGTGTTCCATTACCTTACGCTGTTAGAAATGACAGACAGCAAATAAGCCCCACAATTTGGGTGTAGTCGTTTGAAGAGCACATCTAAACACTGAAATCAACTATTTCCGCTAATTCTAATCATGAATAATTATCTCAAGTTGCATCTTGTGTGATTGTAGCACTGTAAACGCCTACGAGGATCTCGTTTAAAACGTGAGTAGAAAAACATGTTTCTGGTTAAATCTATGAAAGAAGCATTACCAACTTAATCCAATGGTTACCGAAATGGCTGCTGTTTTACATAACGTGCACAACATTCCGTGTGATCCAACCAATGAGAGATGGAGTTAGCTCAAGGTGCAAGAAGGCTATCAAAAAAAACAGCAGTTTAAGGTGGAGTATCCAAGGGCGGGTTTACAAACGAGAACAGCTTGAGTAGTTGACCTTTGGAACGAAGTTTGTTTAATTATAAACAGGCCTGAGAGTGCGTAGATGAAGACACACGCTGACTCAGTGATGCCCCCGCCACAAGCCATTTTCTAGTGGCGGTGTGAGTTCGTGTGTGTGTGTGCGTTCGTGTGGCGCTTTGTGGTGACAAGACCAAATTAGGTAGCTATCATTTCGTTCAGCTAGTCGCAACTACACGATGCTAAAGCTGTCAGAGGACTAGAAGATATTGGTCGACTTATTGCTGCTGATTTGGAGGGTTAGAGAAGGTTAACCTGCCCGAACAGCCACACAATGACGCCTACGGGGGTTGCAGTTGCAACCTGACGGATTTGTGTACTTGGGCAATGCTGTTTCCAGGCTAATGTTTGACTTAGTGCAGGCGGGGTGAGTTGATTCTCAAACGATACACAAGTAATGCGGCTAACAACGTCGTATTTGTGAACTGGCGGATTTAATCACGGATATATGTGCAGAACGATTTCACCTTAGTTACCACAAATCGGAAAATGCGGGCTGCGTCGTGGCCAATGACAATGCTAGAGTGTGACGTTACTGGAAGAAATTTCTGACTATCGACTTCAAAAATCGACATGGGAAAAGCGACATCATCGACATCATAGCGTTCTTTTGCTGGCTCTCAAAATTTGAATTTAAAAAAAGGTGAATTTGAAGTCACATATATTGCTGAGATCTGGATTTTCAGTATCCAGCAAGTTGAGTGGTTTCGGTTAATGCTGACATGAAAAATGGGTTAAAAACATGGTCGCGCGACCTTGAAATGTTAGAGCTGAGGCAGCGAAAAACTTGTTAGTTGCCGGGTAAAAAGTGGCAGAATAACAACGAATAATGCATGCTATTGACTAAATTACATCATTTTATCAATAAAGATCGCTTTATTCTCCTCCAAAATGCATAGATTTATTAAAATTCAATGAAACCATTGCTCGTGGACGAATATCTGGTTCGCCAATTTTGAAATTTAGCTTTCAAATCTCCACGGTCTTCTACTGACTGTACAAGTACAATTCGAATAACAATGTGATATTTGTCATGTTATTTGGGTATAACCTTTGGTTTTACTACACCGTTTTTGCGGGAATACTATTCAAAATAGCCAGTAGTGTTAAGGACTCTGTTTATTGCTTAACACTAACAGTTTAAATTCGAGTAAAATTGGAAACAACTTACGGCTTCCTCATTCTCCTCTGCAACAACAAGTTTCAGCTTCTTTCCATGCATGTCCAACTTCAAAATCATAGACCTATGGGGGAGAAAAAAGGCAAGGAGTGCCATTGTCTGGGTTCGGAGCACAAGGTAGGGGAAATTAGCAGAAGAACCATGCCAACAGGCGTACGGGACTCGGATTAATTAAGACTTTCCTAGTAGTTATTTGGCCAACTTAAAAATAAACTCCAGTGGTATTTCTTCTCGCCATAGATTGGGAAGTAACTGAATCAAAGAAGGGTGCTTCAGTGATTCCAGTTGGCCTTGGTGAAACAGAAAGAGGAAAGAACGAGCAAACTGACACAAGTCACGACTGACTGGATCAATAAAAGGCTAACATCTCACAAGCGGGGATTTGGTTCTGACAATGAATAGCGGTGAATTGTTTACCATGACAGTGCGGTCAAAAGAGTAAAATTAAATTAAAACAGTGTTTTACGAAAAGGGTAAAAAGGTGTGAGAAATTTTGAAGAGGTACTTTGTGACACTTGGAAACCTAAATTAAGAGTTGAGAACCATCTTTTCTGGTTTTAATGCCAAGAAACCCCAAAGGCTAATGAGGTAAATGTACAGGTAATCAGAAAAGTTAATCAGTAAAGTTATTTCCAACATTCGTTGCAAATCTGTTGGAATGGGCTTGCATTTAGTGTGTGGTAACGAAGATCAGTTTAACACTACCTAAATTCGTCAAACGTAGGTGTCAAATTAAATCCGAGGATTATATCTTCTCAAACTCTTAAGAAAAGTACAATTTCAAAGTGGAAGACGCGATTATCCGAAAATACCTGATTATTGTTGAAAGTAGTCGTCAGTTTAACCCCAATCCCACATATCGTGTGAAAAAAGTAAGGCAAAGTGACCATGACATGGCAGAAATAATAACGCTCAAGAAAGAATGAATTACACGAATACAGCAAGGTCGGCAGGGCTAGTAAATCAAGTAAAAACTCAAAACGTTTATTTTATTTAACTAATTTTAAATGAATTCCGCAAAATACATCCTTTTAATTTACGTAGTACGCAGATTTATCGGTTCACATTATTTGCTTCTGCCAAATGAGGAAATTCAAATTGAAACACAACATGATAATTAGAGGAAATCTGGCGGATTCGTGCGCCTAATTTAGATTAGGTACAAAATTGCAATTTTAATACAGTTATACCACAGATGCATTCAGAGAATATCTCTTTTAAATAGCTTTGAAAATGCAGCCGATAAAAAGGCAACAGCTTATGTAACGACTCTTACGAAGCATCATTTCAAAGAAAAGCAATAAATATCGCTTTAGCTAGATTACGTTATACCTATCAAAAAATCATAAACTTAAGTACACAAATAGATAAAATAGCAAAAGATATGTTGCATTAAATAGCAAAGCCGTACCACACAAATAAACCAATTTTCTTGTCATCTTCATATACTAAGATTCCAGTGGGAGTGAGTCCAAGAGTATAATTCTCATCATCTTTACCCTTAAAAGAAATAAAACCAAAATAAATACAACGTGTAAAATAAGAAATAGCACAAAAAGGAATTAGTACCTTCACCACATGCATGTCGACTCCGTAATTCGGCAAAAATCGTACACGGTCTAAGAACATCCTATCCGCATCTTCAGGAGTCCATTCCCGAGTTCTAAATTACAAATTATATGCAAGGTGTCTCTATCGACAAACTCAAACAGAATGCAGTGAAAAATTACTTGAGCTTTTTGTATTCATGGAGGATAGCAAGTTCTAGAGTTTCCGTCTGACGATCAGGTGGGTAGAATGGTAACGTTGACACAAAAACTGGAGTATGCTGACGGGGGTCAAAAGGTCCGAATTCACCTAAGAATAGCAATTGAAGAAAAGCAATAGCAAATATGTCTCAAAAATTAACACTTCTATTTAATGGAGAAAATTAATTATTTAATCAAAATTGATCAAAATTAATCAAATAGAATAAAGTACCTTGAAGTAAATAGGCCGCAAGTTCCGCTGCAACTTGGTCGTCTGGACATTGTAAAGTTCCTTTCTCCAACTGCTTTCGCAGCTGAAGAACGAATAGATAGCGTGTGTATTCATCTCGAAGTTTTTGAGGTTCGACAGAGAAAAATTTTACACACATGTGAAATCTGTAAGGAGGGCCAACTTAATTTAATATAGCACAAATATGTTGTAAATACCTCGAGACTGTTTCCGGATTTGTTTTGTCGGGTCAACCCAAGACTATTCAGAGGTATATATATGTAAATATTATCTAACCTTTAATTTGTCATCAAAACGAAGAGAGAAATATTCCCGCTCATCATTGAGCCCAATAAATGCAAAAGCTAATTCGATCAACATAGATCCTTCAGAATTTTTCTGAGAACATCAATGTTATAACAAATTACTGGAATAAAAAATGTCGTACAACTCCCATCAATGTATTCTACTACACATTCGTTATCTGAAGGTTTCTGTTTAGTGCCATCAATGGAATGTCTAGCCATTTCTGAAACACCACTGTGCTCTGGCTTTGGTTCCCGTTTCCACCACCTACGCGAGAAAAACCTTATTATCGCCGCCATCCACTTAAGCGACCTAAACTTATTCCTAGCGCTTAAAATCCTGTTTATAGCACAAGGATAAACAATATGTACAAGGTCAGAGTCACCACAAATTGAATTCACGGAAACGAGACCTTTAATTCATACAGAAATAACTAGATAAAATCAAAAGAGATTTTATAGTTTATAAATTTAACCTATGTACTGCTTAATCAATTTATTAAGCAATAAATCCTGTTGCATGGAATTTAATTACTTGTTTAAATAACAGCTGAACAGGGTAAAGCTCACATTAAATTCTACATCAGAAGTTACTTAAAGTTTATCCAGAGGGAAGTAAAAATGTGATTGCATAATGATAACAACTTGAAAATTCACTAAAGCAACCCAAAAATCAAAAAGCTTACTGAATATCAGCACATTAATTCCTTTAAATTGTCTTATTGAGGCATCATATTCTGCAAAATTTAATAGTTTTAATCGTAATTAAATGAAACTTGTATGACATAGCGACGTAAAAACGATGTCAGTAGTATAGGATTTCGCATTTTTATACAGTAAAATTTTTAAATTTTTTTAACAATTTAAGATGAAACTTTTGCCGTGAGATTATTGGACATTGTTAGACATTTTTCGGAAAATCCATTAACGACGACAAAATTTAAAAATTTTAATGGTCAAGGTTTTTCTACTCATAAATGTGGAACTTCTGGCATAATTTGTGAATTTTTCGTGGCTTTACATAATCAAATATTTCCGACCAAATCACTAGTTTAAATCCAAAATATTCTAGCAAACTAAACCTTGTTTAATTATAAGGGCTCGAGTGAAACACAAACGCTGTTTTGTATCCGCTCCTGTTTTATTAACGAAAGTAAACAACAATTCATTATTTTTAATTTTTTAATTTTACGGAATCAGAGATTACAGGGATTGCAGGCCATTTTCATGCCTCGATTCTATGAGGAAATTAGACAAAATACCCTGAAACAGAAGGTTTAACATATTATTTCACGAAAATATCGTAGAAAACGTTTCTACACTAAGTTGTAGAAAATCGTTTCGTATGCTACCGTGTTCGTTTACTAAGTAAATCACGAACACGATCTCTCTTTACTGATGAAAATAATCAAAGCATGTATTCAGGTACGTTTCTCATTGATATTGCCTTATATTTTTGAAAAAAGTTATAAACTCATTCGTTTGACTTCATCATTATTTTACTAAAATGTTTGTCATTGTTTACTGTTAATGAATAGGCAATTAGATTTTTAATGTCTGGCTTTTTTTGGGCTAAACATTAAGTTACAGTAATCTTATATTTTCATTTATTTTCACTTGTTTCACTCAACTAGCGCAACCTTCTGATTAGTCTTCTAGTGGCTAAGTCATTTCGTGGGCTCTTCAGTTTCTTGAGGCGGTTTGTGATGCTCCGAGTAAGGGCCTAAGTGTTTCATGCCGTATGCACAAGATATTTATGGCTTTTGGTAACGCATAACTAGTTATCTTTCATCGGAAAATTTGTAGATTAATTGTTTGGATCGTTCTGTAGAAGAATATTGAAGTGTGTACTTCTGCTGCAATTCGGTTATCCGTCTACTAGTTTGGGTTAATGCACCTTCCATACTTTTATCTAGTATATTAGCAGCCTACACGGTTTTTTGTCTATATTTTCATGTACTGGCCTTTTAATTTTTGCAGTCATTTTCAAACAGCATGCTGACCAAACATATAGTTCACGCATGATTTACCAAGTTTTGTTCTGCTTTACACTACCTTATTGATGCAAACATTATGTTATTTCTGATCATGTCACTGGTTTTGTTTCCAAAAATTGATGTCTTTCATTAACTGTTCGTCCCTGTGTGCTGTTGATATTAGTTTCATCATTTTATTCCACTCCTGTCTATTCATTGTCCCGTCATTGAATTTATCCATTTGGATCTCTTAACTAGATCGTAAAGTTTTGAGCGGTTAAAAATTGAGCTAAATTGATGCACCAGTGATTCGGCGATATGTTTGATATGGAATCGCCACCACTCTATTTAGACCTGCTTTTACGTCATGTCATTCTACCATTCTGCCACTACCAAAAATATTAAATCACTGTTGCATAGTAACTTAATTTCTTAGCTGTGATTTTGACGAACCAATGTGTTTTTCTTACTTTATTTTCTCCCAAAATTCAAATTTTTATTCTGGATACGCCGGCAACTTCGCCTTTCGATCTATGTATTCACCAATTTTTTCATTTAAGTGATACAACATTTGCGCTGTTTGCGGTTTCTTTGTGAAACTATTCAATAAGTTTACATCACATTGCATAACAGTTGTCTGATATACGAAATATGACTTGGTATTCCATCCTTGGACACGCAGGACTAACTTATTAGGGATCCTTTTGATTGCCTTATTTTGCTTTTCATTTGCTGAACACTATTACTCAAGATTTTTGCGGGTTTTTTTTGCCTTTAGATTTATCTGGATATTTTGGGCTTGCTTTTTGCTTCACTTGGTGGTTTGATTTTTGTATTCTACCCTCCCCGCCCGTTCTACGATGATAAAACAGTTGATGGCTACAGCTTAACTGCCTTCGGCTCCAAAACCTCGTACAAGAACCACGGTCTCAAATCAGCACACCCTTCCTTGCTCTCTGGTAAACGTTTGGTCCACATAAATGCGCTCTTCCGTCATGGCACGCGGTCCCCCGACATGGATTTTATGACAAAAATGGCAGCGCTGCGTACTAGACTTCAGCAATAGTATGTGCTTTATGTATTTAACGAACCCGTTCAGTTTACCGAACTTAGACTTTCCACTGGAATCTGGTGGCAACGCGAGCAAAGTTTTGTTGCCGTCCGGAGTTGAGGAACTGGCTCAACTCGGTATCCGCTTTCGGAACATTGTCCCTGATAGCTTTCGCCTTGCTTCCGGCGCACTTGTTGTTTCAAGCCAAACCGAACGAACTCTTAAAAGTGCCCGTGCTTTCATTTCGAAGGTACTTTTTTCATTTGGTATTGCAATTTAGCCTATATTCAAGAAAATTAATATTTTTCAAAATGACAAGTAATAAATAACTAGGTTTTTCAAAAAAATTAACTGTTGCCGCTTGTCAGACGAGGCGAGAACAATTTCTGAATCGAGCGTTACGAATTCACAAATTCTGAAATCTGACTGGACATGCAAATGGCAAATTGATTGCTGCTAAAGCTGTGACCACTGAATAGGATTATTGAATTGGAAGTCGAAATTTAGATTTGAAAAAGCTAACACATTTTCGTATAGAAGAAATGCGAGATTATACCAAGCAGCAGGTCGAGCGGCAACGGATGATCAGGTTCTGATTCACTGTGTGTCAGCAAATACGAGATAGCTCATTCCCACCTCAACGGCCTGTGAAAGTGGGCGAAAGCGCGTGGAACCAGTGTCGTAGATGATTCGACATCCGAGAAGCGGGTTATGGGTTTTACCCGTGGGAGGGGGGGGCAATTCTGATTCTGTCGCCCACGATGTCGTGGCAGTTGCTTTTGTCTGGCACACGGAATTGGCCAGACACCAA